CACACACACACACACACACACACACACACACACACACACACACACACACACACACACTAGACACGCGCGCACACACACCCACACCCACACACACATCTGCCTGACGGAGGAAAAGGTGACAAGGTAACCGAGTCACTCACTCACAGACAAGTTGATCAGAGAACCTGACAATCTGGCAACCTGTGGCGGTTACAGATTCAAGCTTCCACCATGATGAATCTTCTCTGAAAGCCCTATTGTTGACGTTTTTCACAGCTACTACTGGTTTTTGGCACAGGCAGTGCCATCCCCCTACCATTACTCACCCATCTACCCCCACAGCATGATGATCATCATCATTATTCCATCTTTACTTTGTCCTCTCCTACTTGCTCTTAGAAGAATAGAAGATTGAATGATATACACAAGCCCCCCCTCCATGATTACCGCATCATGTATTTGAGAATGCTTCGTAGCAAGTTAGCTGAGCTCACTAGCTCACATGCGGAGATGTCGCAGCTGACCTCTTGAGCAGCACGGAGCCTGAAATCCATCGGAAGGCCATGCCTGAACGAGGGCCACTACTCTCGACTGATGCTGATCCTGAGCAATTATCACTGCAATTACTTGCTGTGCCCTGCCCCAGGTTAGCTGCTAACAAATCGCGCTCGCCATGCAATCTGGTGCAAACTCCAATCTGAGACCGCCTGAAATTCCATGTGTGCAGTGTCATATCTGCAGTCCGACTGGCCAAACAGCAAGGAAACCAAAACACAGGATCGAGTAAGAATCAGTCCTATTCCAAGCAAACCACTAGAGCCAATCAGGCCAACAATACATAACCCAACCCAGGAAGACGAAAAAGAAAAAGTCAAGTGCCTGTCAGTCCTTCGAATCCCTATGCCAATTCAGACCAGCCATGACGGGGTGAATTATGAAAGGCTGCAAAATCCTGTGAGCATTGGTTGCCGTGCAACGACGAAAGGAAGCCTGGTTCTTAGATAAAAAAATGATAAAAATCTTAGAGTCGAACCGAAGCCTGGTTCTTAACTGCTTACATAACAATCATCAAAATCTTAGAGTTGAATAAGAAGATCATCTGGTAAGAACTTCGTTACAGATATTTGCAATTACTCGAAATAAAAAATACAGAAAGACTTCCAAGCCAAACAGCCCAATTACCACTTATGGTATATTTATTATTTAGTATAAGCAAGTTCTACTGGAAGGAAAATGAACAGAAGCGAGATGACAATATTCAGATTGCACAATCACATTGAAAGCCAAATCATATCACAGTGTTCAGAAAGCAGCATTGCACCGATATAACACCAATGGAGAATCGTGGCACTGAAAGTCAATGTCAATGAGAGCTTGCTCTCGCCACCACCAACATATGTATCCAGTCTCTATCTCCCAACTTGGCGCTCGGCGCCCAGCCTACTCCCTACACAGCTACAACTATCCTACTAATTGACAATGCAACTGTTGATGTCAGCAGCCTCCGAAGTACTTGAAGATGTCGCCCATGCAGACATCACCAATACCAGGTATGTGCCCTCACATCATCATCATCATCATCATCCTTCTCTCTCTCTCTCCCTTGTCTCTCTCCCATGTCTTCCCATTGTACAACAGAAGACCACCCCTGCGCCTCACTGTACATCCAAGCCCGCCAGCTATGGAGGCCGGGCCATGGCGCTGCCCTCAGCAGCGCCCTGCTCTCTGCACGACCGCACATGCTTGCACCTCGCCGCCTAGCGCTAGCAGTAGCCCACGAGCTTCAGCTCCAGCAGCGCTGCCGCCAGCATGCGAGTGCCCGAATGCCTGACCAGGCAGCGAGCTCTTCCCTATATGGAAAGGGCTGGCCTGCCTTCGCAGCCTGGCTGGCCTGGGCCTGGGCCCAGAAGCTTCCGGTAGGCCCCAGGATGCTGCGCCTCTGGTGCAGCTAACTGGGCCTCATTCGGTTGGGCCTCCCAACTGTCTGTGTATGAGGCTGCGAATCTCGTCCAGGGCCTGTCCTTTCGGAAGAGCCTGGAAGGCCGTGGAATTTCCTTGCTTCTCGGCCTGTGTTTTCCTCAACCAACTGGCGCGACGAAACTGCCTGGATCCCAAATACGAAATTGACAGCTGAGGGCCTCTCGTAATGTGTTGGGCCCGCCTTCACTTAGGGCGGGCACAGATGCAACAGGGGCCCTTAGGCCTGCCGAGGACCCAGATCCTCGCATTCCCTCCTCCTGTACTTCGATAGTCCTCTGAGAAGATCCTCGCATTCCCTCCGACTGTACTTCGATATTCCTCTGAGAAGTCTTCTATTCTGCGGGCATCTTCCCTTTGAGATCTTTTTCGTAGCCTGCAATGACTTGAGGTGCAGCTCTCATGAGTTCTTCTTCGGTGAACCACCGATCTTCGCTGGGATCCAGATGATGTCTGAATCTGACCCGGTATTGCACTTTTGGCTTAGGAGGGCGGCCTCTGCCCGGTGGTCGATGACCGCTTCGCCATCCATGGTTGGGGGCAGCATTGACCGTCTGGAGGGAAACTTTGCAGTTTCTGCGAAAGGTGCCAGCATCGATGTGTGAAAAACAGGGTGTGTCCGTAGATGAGGTGGGATGCGAATCACACAAGAAGGTCCATCCACCTGTTTCCCCACCATGTCTAGGACCTCCCTGGGACCAAAATATTGTGGCATTAGTTTCCTAGATATTCCCATTTCCTGTCCCAATTCAGATGACTTTACCCATACCCTTTCCCCTACTTGAAAGTTAGAAGGCCGTCTATGTTTATTATCAGATGCAATCATAGCATCCTGAGATTTCCTCATGTGCTCAACGGTCTGCTGTAACATCTGTTCGTATGTGATAGCAAATTCTATGCTACCAAGTGTTGCAGTAGCCTGTTTTTCAGGTAGTAGGAAATCGAGGGCGGAACGGGGCTTCCAACCAAGATGCAGTTGGTTGGGAGTCATGCCAGTAGTACTATGTACTGCATTGTTGTACAGGCTAGCGACGAGAGGTAGTTTCTCGTCCCAGTCATCCTGGCTTGGCTTAATGTAGTGCCGTAGTAGATGCTGCACTACTCTGTTCATCTCTTCCGCCTGTCCATTTTACTCGGGGTGATTCCCTAATGTCATTTGCAGTCTGGTTCCTATCTGTTGGGCAGTGTTCTGCCACAATTCGCTCGTAAAGCGAACATCCCAATCGCTGACGATAGACTTAGGTAAACCAAAGTCCCGTACCCAGTTGTCCATGAACAATCTGATGAGATAGTCGGTTTTAGCAGTCTCAGGCATAGCGATCAGTCTTGCATACTTAGAAAAGCGGATTGCTATAACGAAGATGCGTCTTTTTCCAGACCTGCTGGTCACAAGAGTATCCATGAAGTCCATGGAGACACTCTGACCAGGACCTTCAGGAATCGGCAAGGGCTTGATGAGCCCAAGCGGAGCCTGAGTTCTAGGTTTGTCACGTTGACAGACCTAACAGGTTTCAACATACTTCTTGGCATCTTCAATCATAGAAGGCCACCATAATTTTTGTATTAAGTTAGCTAAAGTTTTCCTAAAACCGAAATGACCAGTTGCATCGTGACATTCCCCTAAAAATAAACTACACAAAGACTCACTATTGGGAACACACAGTCTTTTATTCCCTGCCTTTTCAAGAAACAGCAAGCCATCTACCATCATAAATTCGTCAGAAGTTACCTTATCCTTCTCTTTGAACTTACGGATGATCGTAGACATAACTGCATCTTGTTGGTAGGCCTCCACCAAAGATCGAGTTAGATCATTAGATACGCCGAATTCATTCACTAATGCGCCCAGATAATCTACCCGACGTGAAAGTGCATCAGCTACCTTGTTGTACTCTCCCTTGATAGGATCAAGTTGATAGTCACCCATGTCTATCACGTGTATCCATCTCTTGAGTGCGTATGAGAGTACCGGTTGTGTTTTGATCCAGCGCAAGGTCTTATGGTCAGATCTTACATAGAAAAATCTGCTAAGGAGATAGTGTCTCCGGTGGACCACCGCTCGGTACAGGGCATAGAGCTCACGTTCATAAGTAAACCTAGCTAGTTTCTGAGATGGCATCTTTTTACTCATATACTCAATCGGTCTCAACTTTGGCCCCTCCTTTTGTGCAAGGACTGCGTCAATGCCATATTGGCTGTCGTTTGTGGTCCCAACAAAGGGTTTATCAGGATCAGGAAGTTTGAGGACTTCATAGTGAGTCAGAGCGTACTTTAGTTGCCTGAAGGCCGCCTCACACTCTTCAGTCCACTCCCAAGGGGTGTCAAGTCGAGTTAGATCTGTTAATGGGGAAGCTATAGTACTATAGTTCTTTACAAACAACAATAGTAGCCTGTCATCCCCAAAAACGGTCTGACCTTAGTAACAGTCTAGGGTCTGGGGCAGTCACGTATGCTGGCCACCTTAGCATCATCAGACCTCAATCCCTCCGCTGAGATTTCATGACCCAAAGTACAAGATCTTGGTGCGACAAAATTCGTATTTCTCCAAGTTAACCTTGTATTGGTGTTGTCTTAGGAGACCTAGCACAATTTTCAAGTGCTCAGTGTGCTCCTCTACAGTCCTACTAAAGATAAGAATATCGTCGAGGTACAAGCCGATAAACTTGTCTAAGTAATCATGAAATATCCGGTTCATTGCATGCTGGAACGTATCAGGTGCATTGCATAGGCCAAAGGGCATCACCACAAACTCGTACAAATCGTACCTGGTCTGAAATGCGGTTTTGTGAAGGTCCTCACATCTAATGGCAATTTGATGCTATCCGGACTTCATATCTATCTTGGTGAAGTACCGACATCCCTGCACTCTATCCAAAACGTCGTTGATGCGGGGTAGGGGCTCCGCGTTCTTAATGGTGATGGCATTGAGGCCCCTATAGTCAATGCACACCCTTAGGGTACCTCCCTTCTTTGGGACAAATAAGACTGGCGCACCGTAAGGGGAGGTACTAGGCCGAATCCATCCCTTTTCTGTGAGCTCCTTGAGCTGGCGGCGGAGCTCATCCAACTCCGCAGGAGACATCCTATAGATTTGTCCTCTAGGTACCTTACTACCTAGAACAACCACTATTCCATGGAACACCACCCTTTCTACCACGTCTGTGGGCTCCTCAAAAAGGTATGAATATGTTGCGACGACTGATTCTATCTTTGGGGGTGTTTTAACGGCCTACCTTTTCTCAGAGACAAAAACTAGATACATGCCTTCCTCGCGATTCTGCTAGTAGTAGTTATAGAAAGAGGAAGCACACATGCAGCCGTAGTTCTCCACTCGATTGCTAGCCTTATACTTTTGTAGTCTAACGATCCTACCATTTGGCAACTTGTGTATCAACACCTTCCTATCACAATCAAACTGAGGTTGCGCTACCTCGAGATAGTACATGCCTAGTAGCAAATCGAAGGGCAGTTCGTCGCTGACGAGGAATGAGATTTCAAGTCTCACTTCCCCTCCTCCATAAGAAAAGGAACAGACTACGTCCTTGACATAGTCTTTAACAATCATTTGGTGCTTGTTCGCTAGCGTAAAAGCTACAACTCTGCTAAGTCGCTGCACTTGGTCCCCTAAGCGCAGTCTATCCACACAAGCACGACTGATGAAGTTTCGTGTAGAGCCTATGTCTGCGAAGGCGCCAACTTTGCGGCCACCTACATCAACCTCTACCACGAAATGTTCACCCTTTGGACCTCTACTAATC